AATATAATTGTATCCCAGCTCTTATTCCTGTGACAAGTATCTTTCTGAAACCTACTGTGGTTATTTTAATTTGAGTAGAAATCAAGCCTTTGCTTAGGATTAACAGATGCGGTGAAGTGTTGGTATCTGACAGTGAGATGCTGACTGTGCCGGTACTAATGCTTCATTACCTTGTTAACACCATTTACTCCTGTTGGATCATTACACTCATTAAATTAAGGAAATCATGTAATCATTGACCATTTTGTTTTCAAAATGGAAAGTTTTTATGCCAAAACCTGCATTATTTCCTGCTCTAGCTTTTGCAAAATAGTGCTTGTCATTTTTGCCAAAGACAAATGAGCAAAGTGTAATGGTTTTAAAAATTAATCAATGTTTCTATTTGAAGCAAATGTGAAAATAAAGCAAATGCCAGCAAGCAACATACAATGTGACTGGAATTTAAGTGGCATAAAATTGAGTTATTGTACACAAAATTAGCATGCAAAACACGGGGTTTTGTGGGTTTTACTAATATTAACAGGAAACTCAAAGCTCAAAATGTCAAGTTGTTTTTCTAGCTCAGAGAAATACTATGTTAAGAAATCTTTGGAACAGGCTTAATTGAATCTTTTACAGGACTGTAGTGAGAATTTGTGAATTCTGTCCTGTACTTTAAAATCTGTTATGAGCACTGAAGGGGAGACAGAGTAGAGGATTTGGGAATCCTGTTTCTAATCTAGTAACAACCATACAAATTTCCTTTGTGATTCCTATTCTTGTTTCTGGAACAGGGAGGTTTTTGGTCCTGTCGGCCTTTTGTTTTACTTTAGCTTGCAGGTACATTGGGGGGGGAGGGGGAGGCGAGAAAGGGTGAACAAGAGCAAAGGCAGGTAATCAATTCATTCAGCACCAGATTTCTGCAGAGGCATATTCCTGAAGGTACTGACTTGAAACAATGTTAGCATTCAAGGGCTAGGCAGCCTCATCTCTTAATTTGTGTTTTGTCTCAGATCTCTGAATTTGACTTTGAACAAGGATATTCAAAATAATAAAGATTGTAAATTAAAACGCAAACCTAGTTAGAATATGATTAAAATACTAGAAAGAATGACTGTATTTGTATTCTAGAGCAGAGAAATCTAGTAGGGTTATTTTTCTGAAACTCGAGCACCTCATTCAAAATTTGAATTCTCTTTATTATTAAGGAAGGTGGTGTAAGCTTCCATAAACTGCTAAGAAATGGGATACAGCTGTCAAAAACTTGAAACAAAAAAAGTTAAGTAAAAGTCATTAATTAGGGATTGCCTCTCAATACACTGCCGTTTTTTACCCAGCTAGAATCTCAACATGAGGAGTTGGATGTATGTGCAGTCTGTACCATTGTCCTCAACTGACACCAGTTACTCTGAATGCACAAGTACACGGGGAAGGATTAAATATCTAGAACTCAAAACTTTCATGCCATTTAATGCTTTTAAAGGATTTGACGTAAAATGAGTGCTAATTCTAAACTCTTCTGTTGGATAAAGTTACAAGGGAAATGAGAGGTTAAATTATTTAGGAAAAATTGTTAGAAAGTTCACATAACCTTTGTCTTGTGAAAGGGCAGATCACCTGAAGTTGTCTCATCGTCAGGGTTGGGTCTTTTATTCTTGCATGCTAATTTATGATGTAATTTTCCTCTGGCTTTGGCCTCTTCTCTGCCCACCTCTGAGTCATGACAGAGCACACAGGTTCCTTTCTGGCTCTTGCACCAAAAACCTTTGCTCAAGCACATGAGGAGTAACCTGTTTTGTAACAGAAGCATCTTAGTCTTGCAATCAGATTTACTTTGTATTTTTGAAAGGCATCTTAATGTTTGGGTAGTAATAAGTTGCTTGAGACACGCTTTGAAACCCTCAGCCTCCCTGAGGTAGGATCAGGTGTTTATGTGGCTCCTGGCATTTTGCCCAAGGGAGCAATTTACTCTATTTACTGCAGCCTGGGCTGGTGTGATGCAAACAGCCACGATGGCCCCAAAGAGTCTTCTCCTTGGGGTGGGCTGTGCAGCGCAAATAGATTGCTCTGAGCAACCTGAGCTAGCTGAAGAGCACCCTGCTCATTGCAGGGGAGTTGGACTAGATGACCTTGAAAAGGTCCCTTCCAACTCAAACTATTCTATGGCTCCATGATGAAAAAACTTGTTTTCTTAGGTAAAATTCATATTTCTAGTTTAGGCCAGTACTCTTGTGTTTTCAACCTGGGCATTCCTGGTTGCACAGGTTTAAATACATCAACAAAACCTTAAGCTGGCCACTTAGTTCCCACATGATCACTAGTTACAGCTTGATAACATTGGCATTTTTTTCACAGTATTGCCCTTCACAGAGCTGTGCTCAGTAAGTGAGAAGTGATGGATAGAACATTTCCTCTCTCTTGGTAAGGCTTGACATTTGCTACTGCTGAATTTCCCTTCTTAATCTGTAATGTTCCCTTTGCTCTCATCTCTCTGGATCATTTGCAGTTTGAGTCTGCCTCTTCTGTTTGCTCCCACTCTGACTGGGGATCATCAACAAATCTGATTGCTGTTGAATTTACACCAAAGAAATCCATGATACAGAGGAGATTCACTGATGGGCTTTGACCCCCGCTGCAGCAGCCCAGCAGTGGCAGGCCCAGAGTTTCTGCTGGGCAGTGACATGAGCGCTATTGAAACCACACAGAGACTTCTGTTTCAGCTGTGCCTTCATCTGTGACAAAGAGACACCACCAGGTGCTCTCTGAAGTACCAGCAGGGTGGTGAGAGGCACGCCATGAGCTTGGTTTACAGCTTTGTGTTAGGACACATTTTGCATAAACTTCACATGGGAGAACTTCTTCTGGACTTCTCTTCAGGGAAGGTTCAAGGTGCTTGTCCAGCCTCACAGGAAAAATACATGAGGAAGTTGAAAGTATCATTTACTTCAGGTGAGCCTGCAGAAATAAATTAGAACTTTTTATTTCTTTCTTTATAATCTCTTTAAAGCTGTCAGGCTGTGAAGTCCAGCCGGCTGTTTGCTGCATTTTGAGAATATGAAATTCTGATCCCATCTGCCATGGGAGCTTTTTCATGCGATGGAAAGATGAGAGAAGGGGCTGAGAGCCCGGCTCGGGCTGAGGCCCCGCACTTACCACTCCGGGTTCATTTCGGATGTTCACACCTTTATGCAGAGGAGGGTTCCCAGCGGCCCCACCAGCCGCCGGCAGCCCCTCCGCCCGGAGCTGCGCCGCGGGCCGGGCCGGGCCGCGCTGCCGGCGCCTCCGGGAAGGAGGGTCCGGGAAGGAGAGTCCTCTGGGGCCGTGCAGCGCCGGGACAGGGTTCCTGCGGCCCGACCCCAGCTGGGGGGCACAGGCACAGCGCGCATCCGACGGGTCTCCGGGTGCTCAGAATGTGCACGGAAGTATTTTATCTCTGTGGGGTTCCCGGTCCGGGATAACACTACATCTACTACGGCGTTCTTTCTGTCTGATGGATCAGGCCGCTAAAAAGCTGATTTTAGAAACAGGCGGAAGACCTGCAGCGGCAGAAGTGGTATGGTCGTGCTGTGTAAGTGCCCTGGGCGATGCGGCAGCGATACCCGCGGGTCCTGTCCAGCCCTCCGGCCTAGCAGGGGGATTTGGTTGAACTAATTTGTGCCTCTTCCTCCCCGCCCCCCTCGATGTACAAGGGTAAACGACTCCTCTATATGTACAACTACTGATGATGTCTAAAATTAGTTGTTTTTCTTTGCTGCTGGCTCAGAAGCAGGTGATGCAGAAGTGAAAGATACAGTTTGTGGTAATGCTTCATCACACACACACAGATGTTTTCATACTCCTTGCAATATTCTTTGGGCCTCCTTTGGCATTGCTTTGTGATTTGAACTACTTTTGCCAGGCCGTTTTCATAGATCTAACTTTTCATGTGCACATGTGCTGTGTATATTACAGTAACCCAAATTATTTTGTAAATTACATAAATTAGGATAGCAGGAACTAGAAGCAACTCAGACACAACTGAAATGAATTGCTGGTGCTTGCAGGCTGAGTACTGCACTAGAGTAGAGGGTAGGAGCTGTAACAGCCACTCCTGGAGAACAGAGTAGGTGTAGATGACTGAATGTTGCAGTAAACCTGCACACTCTGAGAACACCAGTGTAAAAGATACGAGTCTCAGATTTCAGGAAGTCTTAGTTCTGATTTGAAAAAGCCTCACAGACTTAAAAAGACAGTAAATGTGCTCCTCAGGTGAAGGTGAATACCTTAATTTGATGTGGAAGAAGGGAAGAGTCATGAATATCTTAATACACAGCTGTGGCGTGGCATGTGCCTGTGGAATGAAAGGCAACATCAAATCCTTTTCTAATCTAGTGATGTGACTGTGGCACGTGTTATCAACTTGGTATGCTATGTGTGCCTTCAGTCTGAAAGAAATATCCCTTAGTTCTGTCAGATGCGCAATAATCACTTAATCTAAATAGACTATTCTTGAGGCCATCAATCTGGTATGTCAGACATGTTTAATACACCTAATTAGATGACAAAGCAGCACAATAAATTTTGCTCACAGAGAACAGCTTTTTACTGCAAATTAGGCAACCATACATCTTCCTAGTTCTTTTTATTTTTCATTTTTTGTTTGTTTTGTTTTGTTTAAAGATTAAAAATGCCCGTGTAACTCTCAAAAGCAGATTTTCACTTTCGTGGTCTTTTGAAGCTGTCTGTTCTGGTCTTCTATTAATTTTTATAAGTACCCTCAGATTTAATGCAGTTAAATGGGCCTAATTTAGGTGTGCTCTGGCTGTAACTGAAACGGTTGAGTACAGGTTGTATACTATGTTATGAATCAACAAAACAATCTGAAGGAAACTTTACTACACAGCTAGCAAAGCTCATAGCTACATATGTTCTTTTTTCTTTTTTTTTTCTCTTTTTAGAGTAGGGAGCAGGGAAGTGTCTTAGAAGAAACTTCCTGTTGGAATGCCTCACATCAATGCAGTTGCAGCTCTGCAAGTTTCCATGCTGCTGTTTGCTCTTCCTGCACAGTATTTTGTATCCCAGTGGTATGGAACAGACTCTTTGAACGCATCCAAATAATAGAGAGGTTGTAAGAGTCTCCTTCCCTACTGCATTTATTTATAAGGCCATTCTCTTTCTCATCCCCAATGACCCTTTGTCCTGGAAAGCTGGAGTGTGGGTGGGACGCATTGGCTATTCCTATACCAAAACAACATTCAAATCATACCTCAGACATTTTTGTGGCTTAATGGAACTGTATTTAGTTGTTTAACGATGTCCTTCAAATTTGAATAGCAACCATTATTTTTTCCCACAAAAATCTGTGCAATCTGAGTGCATGACTATGCCTTAATTTCATTCTGCTTTGGATATTCCAATATGCGTTCCTGTGGGTTATGTCCCTTTCAAAAGAGGAAAATGAAGCGTTTGATGAGTAACACTATTTCTAATTTTCCATCGCTTTTTGACACATACAGATTTTCTTGCACAGTATGACTCAGTACAGACTCTTAACCAACAACATTTATTCATAGTGAATTACTTAAGGCACACACAATGATAGACTTAAGTAAGGAGTGCCATTTTGTATATGAATTAGGAAGTTATGTATTGACAGAATCTCACACATCCGAAGTGGAGAATATTACATCAGATCCAAATTTTTGATAGTAACCATTGGCAAATGTTGGTGTCTTGAAAATGAACCATGCAAAGAGAGACTTAGTTTTAGCAGTCCGGCCTGTGCAGTGCACTGGCTGTGTAGTTCATCTGTGGAACTCAAATACACGAAGTAATAAGAGCAAAAGATTGGCCTGATGAAAAAAAGAACTAAGCCTGGCTTTGTGTGTAAGGATCCAGAGCTAAATAATTTTCAGACCTCAAGGCATGAGTCAACTACTTACTATTTCAATGTATGCAAAAACATGTAAGCTCTTTTTAATAGTCTTTTGATTACGTGCACCATTTTTTGAATGTTTGATGTTTGCTCTTCTCAAGTAACAGTTGAAACTGCAGAATCTGATGCAATTTAGCAATTCCTATGGTGTGAGTAGAGGAAGCAAGAAACCTTATAATGAAAAATGGTATTTTCTAAAATTTACATGTGGTTTACTGGTACAAGTCATGATTAAGAGAATATTCATTTGCAATCTTGATATTAATCTTGAGGAGAACCTGTTCCTAGTCACTGACCTTTTTTCCTGTTTGCTATAGAAGCCTTAAATATTAAAAAGCTATAAAAAATACTAGAGAAGGTTTTAAAACCAGTATGCTGATAATTTTTACTACTAAAGGATAACTGCCTCTTGGAGCTGCTCTACAAGATCTTACTTGACTCTGGACGTGTGGTCAAATCATTTAAAGCTGTGGCTATTGAAGACAAGGTAGTGTGTTACATACATGGTTTCTTCTTAACAGGAAGGTATACTGTGGGGAACAAAAGACAAAGAGGAAGCATCTTCATCTGCTTGTTGAGCCTGATTTAGAACTTGAAAACCTTGTGCCTATTTTCTGCACAAACATCAAAATTTGAACTCCATGTGAAACTAAACGTAAATCATGGCAGTAATTCTACATATTCTTTCCTCTAAGTTTATCAGACTGAAGTCAGGATGACTAACCATATTAATGTTTGTAAGCAGCTACATGTTTGTGGGATCAGATTCTACCACATTGGATGGATGTCTTATGCACTATATGGTAGTTTAAGAAAACTTGAAATTCAATGAGGAAACACAGGTGGAAAATTTGTGGGTTTAAGAGGAAGGGGAATCTTGATTATTTGTCATGTGACAATGAGCTGGTCCAGAAAAAACAAAATTACATCCATTTATATATACATACCATTTTAATTTAAGAAGACTGTTCATGGACTTTTTTTGGGGAGTTTGAACGGCTTATTTGTGAAATTGAATTTTTGTACAGTAGAAATATTCCACAGGTTTTACCTTGTCTGGACCTTCAAAGATCCTTTATTATTGATCCATGTATAATAATCAAGGGTGTCAAGTCCTCTGAAGGATCCAGACTTAGTTTTGCTCCCTGCGAAACCTGGGGGAATGATCTGGAAACAGAAACTCTGCTCTTCTTAGGTTCACCATATATTTCTTTGCAATTTTGTGGAAAACTCCATGCATATCTAAAGATAAAGACCAAATGATCCTTTGATTATTTCTATAGAGTTGGAGCTGCTTGTCTTCTGAATATCTTATAAACAATTGGTTATCCTAAAAATAATGGCATTTGAGACCTTCCAAACCTACTATACTAGCTGCTGTTTTTAATAACGCAGTTGGACTACTGAAGCTATTTGCCCATTCCTCTTTCTGTTAAAAGGTATTTGTCAACCTTAAGTTTTCCTACACATCTGAGCTAAACCAAACTTTTTAAAAGAGCATTGTTTGCACAGTTATGGAACCTGTGTTCACTTCCTTCCAGGCAGGGTAAAGGGAGTCAGACTGAAAGAGGGACAGTGGTGGACACCATCAAAAAGGAAGGAGACCAGGACAACCTCTAGTTCTCTGGCAGCAACAGGTTGCTGGCTAGTATAGGTGGGGAATGTTAACCCAAACACCTCTGTTCATAGACTGTTGCTGTTACGTTGTCTGCAGAAGGAGTATTTGAAAGTTTCCCACCCTGTAAATGTTCAGTTTGCTCATTGTTTCTTTACCCTTTCTCTTTTTCACAATAGCGATGAAAAATGTAAGCCATTTCCCCTTTCTAAAGACATCCCTCCCAAGCCCCCGCCCTTTAAATTCAGATGAAATTCAGTCTAGTGCAGAAGGAAAAGCTCTACTTACTGCAGCCTTAAGCTGGGACTTACAGCCATATACCTTGTCCATACCAGTGTTAACCAATTTTTTAAGATTTTACAGAAGATACTGAAGAATCACTCTGTTAGAATTCAGAATAGTATTTGCTCACCTCTGTAAAATAAATGGGTTTCTTTCCACTAACACAGAAATTCTAATGCAACTGTAGAGTTACATATTCAAAGAAATTAGATTCATATTGTTTTTTCCTTTTGGAACAAAGTCTTTTTTCTTGTGTATTCCTTAAACGTAGTTTCAACATAAAACACTCATGCAGGCTTCAAATTGTGAAGAAGTTTGTGTCGAAGGCTTTGCAGTATTCCTCTCTTCAGACAAACACCTAAGATAGGATAATTGGCCTTCTGATTATTACTGACACTCGGTTTCTAAAGACCTTGTTTGAAAGTTGGGTTATTAATTTTACATCTCAGGAATTGCTACTACGGAGAAAAGAAAACTGAAAGTGGTGACAATGAAGCAAATCCCCATTCTTATTTTGCAGGTATTGGAGTCTTCTCAGTTCTTTCAGATCTTGCTTGTGATATCATTGTCTATAAGGTCTGCTACAGTAGAATTCTGTACTTAGTTTGTAAATAGTAGTCTTTTTTTTCTTTTCCCTTCTCTCTAAACATGAGTAAGCAAAACAGAAGATGTAAAATCCAAGGCCTTTACCCCATGTTATGTATCAGTACAATACGATATATTACATGTATCTATGTTATTGAATACATCTGAATGTCTCTATTTTGTAGTGACATATGAACAGTGGTACAGCTTTCACTTGATTCAAATGAACTGATTTAGATCAACTTCATAAAAGAAAAAAGAAACAATTGACCAGTCTGTTCCTGGAAAAAAGTTCCCTGCAATCAGACTGAATAGAAGAATTCTGGGACCTAACCTGGAAAAAACTAATGTCACAAGCAGTTACCATATGTAAGCGTGTAAAATACGGTACATAAGGCTTAAGTAATTGTCAAATGCACACATCTTTAGTGCTTTCCAAAACTCTGTTAAGTTCCCTATGTATATGTAATATCAAATAGAGAAACACCTTCCTTAGTGCATGCTGCTTTCTCAAATATCATAGTAATATTCTGGGGGAGAAAACAAAGTACCCGTTTTTCTTTAGTTCACCTTGTCAGTTCTCTGCCGGTAGAAGTCAGAAGAATTTCTGTTTAAATGTTTAATATAACTTGATCAAACTCTTATCTTTGTTAAGTCTCTTTCTTTGTTAAATTAGGATCAACTCAAGTTCGTAGTCCAAGGCCTGAATATGGTCAGTTCCATGCGGGACAGGTAATAAGTCACAAAAGATTTGGCTATTCAGGAGTCATTGTCGGACGGAATGTAAAAGCTGACACTCCAGAAGAATGGCTTCAACCCAAATATCCTCCAAGGAAACAGGTTTGAATGTACTAAACTCTTGCTTTATTAATACATACATAGAATAACTCAGGTTAAAAAAGCCCTTGGAAATACTGCTTCAAATCTCCTTCCTGCTATCCAAGTGGGAAATACTCCAGAGTCCCATATCACCTGTGCAGCTGAGCAGTATCTCCACTGCTTCTGTGCTGTGGTCCCAGTAGAGCTTGCCTTTTGCACCACTGACTGGTTAAGCTTCACTGATCAGGATTTTACTGGACATAAATTAAAATTACTCACTTTTAATACACAGGCTGTATTTAAAGTAGCAGTGTCAACCTATTATGTCTGAATGGATTTCTTGTGCTGTGCTACTAAAGTTGAGAGGATGTTAAATCCTTTATATGATCATCCATAACTGGTGACATCTTCATTGCACCCAAGAAGTGCAAGTAATTGTCTGTGTTTAATCAGTTTCAGTTAGCTGGATACTTGGAGTGAAAAGCTATTTAAAAACACATTTTTGTTAGAATTCTTGAAGCTTTTGAATTTCTCTAGCCTGAGTACTTGTTGTACTTGAAAATCAGATGCTAAATCTTTGTTGACAGTGCTGATCTCGTAGTACAGTGCTGCATACTCTGTACGCCACTGACATGCTGCTTAAGTGGCAGGAAGACACTAATCATGAGGAAATTTCCTGAAAATTGGGGAAAAAATTAAAACCTTTGCCTGTAGCAGAGAATTCATGTTCAGCTGGGAACAGATATTCAGTCCTGTTTTGTGCATCTGGTTCCATCACTGCTGGTTTTTTATCCAACTGTTGCTCATCTTTGGCTCCTAAAACACCTGCATCCTTGCTTTCTTTTTTCCTCTCAGGGGCATTGTCAACAGCTGAACTCCCAAGAATTTCCCAGTAGACACTCCTATTCTTTTTTATGTACCTTATATTGTTCTGCTCTCCCAGTGTCCTTGTGTTCATCTTTATTTCAATTTCAATACCAATGGCACATGGTTTAAGCGTATCTTTTGTTAGCTTTGGTATTTTTTAATTGCCTTTACTTATCACATTACATGCATCAGCTATGCAAAATGCCTTCTGACATCTAGGAGGCAATTACTAAGTTTGGTCCTTGCAAATCCCCCTGAAACATCAGCCAGGCCTTCAGCCCAGCTTTTGCTTGCCTTCCTCTGACTTCCACATCTTCACTAAATTGCTGAGCAGAGGCCACTGCCTGTCACACTGATCGATACTGACTGCTTCATAAACTCCAGCTGTCTGTGTTCATCCAACACTTTTTTGTGTTTGGATTCTGGGTTACTTTGGGCACGAATGTTTATGGATAGCAATGAACATGGTGGGACCTTGGCCCAGGATTTGTTTTCATAGGTTACTTCTTTGATGGAGTATTTATATATATCCACACATAGAAGTTGCCTTAGCTGCCTCCAGGATCGGGACCACGATTGTTGGAGGTGGCATTATGTTCTGAATTTGCCTCTTCCTCTCTGGAGTTCTGCTGCCACTTGTGAAGGAAGAAGGGTCATAACAGATTGTCATGGGACCTACATACAAAAAGCAGGGATATTACAAGGTCTGCAGGAGAAAAGGTTAATTAAAATCTTGACTCTTAAAAAAGGTTTCAGATATGGCAAGAATTTTGTGTATTGCAGTTCTGATTGCTTTATATTTAATTTTCCAAACTGACCCTGGTAAAATAATAAAAATGAACTGGCTATATGTATATATCAAGTGGATTTAGGTTCTGTAAGTCTACTGAGAGTTAACTGATCATAATATGTAATCTCTAGTCAGCATCTCTCTTTGAGGCTATTTATTTTCTTTCTATTTTTACAGGATCTAAAAAATACTCCTCACTATCGAATTCTAATTAACAAAGCAAATGGATTTGGCAAATCTACAGCTTACGTTCCTGAGAAGAGATAATAATTATTATGGGATTAGAGGTGGTATTTATTTTTTATTCAGTTGCAACTTGATTGTTATCCTGTGTGTTTAAAAAGTTGGATGACCTTTGGCTTAATAGATACCACTAGGTTGCAAAGTTAGTGAAAACTGATAGAGAAAGCAGATAAACTAATTACTGCTGCACTTTTAAGCATGGGTTTTTGGAAACTGAAAAATGACCAAACTCAAGTACTACCCACTATGAAGTATCCAACTGCTGGGTTTTGTAAGTGTTTTAGCAATTTGATTTCTATTATGTACAGGCTGTTGCAGACACAGACTTTTGTTTTAGGATTTCTGCTGGATCTACAAAAGTATGTTGGTTTCTCAATTCTTCTCTGAAAAATCTGCATTTCAAACAGCTCCTGCTCAGCTGCTGCCCAGACCGAAGAATGTCTCCTTTCTTAACTGCAAAACTCTTTGGGAGCCAAAACAATCTGCTTTGTGTATCAGGGTTGGAGTAGCTTTTGATTTCCATCTTATGCAAGGCACACCTGATTTTTAAATTAGTTTTGAGATTTTTATCCAGAAAACAGCCTTCAGGTATGCATGCCACATACAAGTGACTTTTTGCCAGGAAGCCCTGGATGCTGTGGTGCCTTCTTTTAAGTTGTAGTTAGTGTCTATCTTTAAAATGACAGCAAGTAGATGAATCATTCATCTAACAGGAGATGCTCGGTCTAGTCAGAGGAGATATGAATTGGCATCTTCTGCATTTTGGGAGATGCAGAAGGAATCACGTAAGTAAGGCTGGCATAAAGACTCTCCATGCACTCTCTTGGAACTGCTCCACATAAAGGATCCCCCCTCAATCACAGTGTGACACAATTACCTCTTTTATTTGGGAGAAGCCGTAGTTCAGTCCTTCTGTTTTAGCCACCACTGATATAAAAGATGTGTTAACATGCCTGAACTTAGAAGCAGAAACGATGCCATACTACATGAGTGTCCTAAGTATTTAAAATTTGATACTGCCCACTCTTTATCTAAAAAAATAACCTTTTGTTATGTCAGTCAGCTGGCTACCTTCAGTTTCCTTTATATTCCATGGGGAGAAACAAATACCTCATCTTAAATATTCACCTTGCAGAAACTAGCCTTTAAGATATCAGATTGCTCTATTCACCTGCACGGCAGGTCAACTCTCCACACAGATTATTAGGGGAATTGATGGTAAAAAGCTCACAATGCCACGTATTTTAAAATTGTCTAGCTGAGATTAATTACGGATTGTGAGTCATGCCTACACCTCAAGTTCAAAAGATCTGTGGATTGTCCTCACTCAGCCTTTCCTACAGCCTAATAGGCACAGTAATTTCCTGAAGAGATGAGTGATCAGAAAATACTGAAACTTGTCATAACTCTTTCCCGGTTAGTCCTCAGCTGCTCACTGTGGGCTTCCTGCACCATGACCAGGCTTGTAACTTGGATTGCCCTTTGTGGGTTTGCATCTTCATGCTGGACACTGCGGTAGTTAAGGCCATCACCTTGTGTGTCTTCGCCATTTCCCCCACTGCTTTTTTATGTTCCTGCTGTCTCACTGGATTAGGTAACTGATCCAGCTAAAAGCAATAACAAATATTCCTAACAGCAACATGAGTGGGAACTACTTCAATAAGAACCAGTGTTGATTTTGAACACTGATGCCAGTGTAAATCTAGCATGTGACATCCCATGCGGTATGTTCAACATTGGCAGAGTACTTGAAGAAAGCTGCTGTTCCGATGACAGAAATTAGGTTAAGGTGCATGGAAAATCCCACTGAAAGTATCTCTATGTACATGAAAAATTCATTAGGAGTTTTTGAAAAGTTAACTGTAGCAACTTCAATGATTTATTTAAGTATCAGATTGTATTTATTGCCAATTTCGATTTTTCTTTCTCAGGTGCATCACCCTGATATGGAAACCTACTTCAGAGGATATGATGGATCAAAATACATCATGCAGCCATGGTTGAAAAAACTCTTATCCTCATGACTGAGTACTTCAGTGTCTGTACATGTATTATACATCCAGACAACAGGTGTCCTTTTTAAACTTGAGCAAACAGACACCAGGATAAAATGTATAATTTTTCCTATGATGAAATAAAACATTCCTAAGCACTTTTTATGTTGAACACTCAGTTTTGTTAGAAGTGAACCCACTGCATGTTCAGTTTACCATGACTCAGGGTGGGGATTAATTTCTTTAGAGATTTGGGAGGAAAGGCGTAAATGTAGCCCAGTTTCGGCCAGGAGTACCAAAGGTTTCGTGCATCAAATATCTTGCTGTTTTACAGGGGCCAGAGGAATAAGATAAGCAGTTGTGAACTGCACTTACAGAATTAATTGTAACCTTAATTTTAGGGGATAGAGCTGCCATAAGAATAAAGTAAAAAACAACAAAAAACTCAGGAAAGCATAAAAATTTTATTAAGAAAATGCATAGGATTTGAAAGTTTCTATAGCAACTTGTTTCTTCTATTTTCTTTTCCCTTTATCTCAAACACAGCAAACACTCTAGAAGATGCATAAGCAGTAGCATTTTGGATTCTTTCCTGCAGAGTCAGTGAATCAGGAGAGCGTGGCAGGTAACTGTCCATGCGGCCTCCCCATTCTTTTGTTTCTTCTTCTTTTATCAGCAAAGGTTTTCCCAATGACTGGCCAAACAATCGACAGACTTCCTGAGCTTTCTGCCGTGTGTTTCCAACAGCAGCAACACATACTTGATGGCTGAGAGGTAGAAGCAGTAGCACAATAACAAGCGGGGCCAACTGATGTACAAGTGTTCCTGCCAAGCCTTTTTGTGCAACTGCATAGATGTTAAGGCACAGCACCTCCCCCAGCTCCTGGGCCACAGCTTGGGCATTTGAGGGGAGAGTGTGGAGAAAATGTCAGCATGCTCACGAGTTCCAATCAAGCATTTCTAACACCTGTATGCTGCAGGCATCCCTGCTGTGTCATGCAGAGCAAAAGTTCATCTCTCGCTCCAAGCATTGCAGTGGCCCAACTGCCAGGCATACTAGCACCTGCTTAACCCCACTGGCCTGATTCCCTGATCTCCTGTGTACATACCTCTGACATACACTTTTGACACCTCCAGAACCATTAACAGCAGCTAACTGAGCTTGCTTCTTGGACGAAGCATAATTTTTTTTCAAGAAGAAACCCCAACCGAGATTAAACTTCCTTCTGCCCCCACTGTGTCAATGGGAGAAGCCAGACTTTGAATAGTCAGTGCCTAAAACATGTCAAGGTCATGAGCTTCAGGGCAGCATGTTTTGATGCTGAGGAAATGCCAGACCTGGTTCTTTACAGATCGTGTCAGCAGCTAAGAGTAATGGGAATTGGCAAGGGTACTTAGAATTATCAACATCTGGTAACACACTTGCACCTTAATGAATAAATACAAATTAAATCTACATGCACTGATGGAACCAAAGCCAAATTCTGTTGACCTAGCATTCACAGAAGATTATACTTCCAGCAGAAATCAGTGGGAGAATATTTTTATTACATTCTGCTTTTTCACCTAGCTCTATCTTCTGGGCTGAACAGCATTAATTTATAAGTTATACTTAAAACAAATGCTGAAATCTTTGAACATAAATTTTAATAAGTGTGAAGGAAATAATTTGCTCCCATTTCAAACAGCATAAATTATGTACTTATATTAACTGAGGCTGTAAAGTTTGTGGTGTGTGAGAGAACTTACCGAAGGGTGTCTATGGCTTCTGGTGTATGGTAGAAATGAGGTGGACTGATGGTAACAGCGGTTCCTAACTTTTCAATGAGTAGATTGCAAACATTCTGCATTTTTCCAAAATCAATAAACATCATACAGACCTGGGAGTGAACACAGACATCACATGAGTAATTTTTTCATTTTCCACTATGACTCAACACTTGTATTTAAATCAGTATAAAGCCAGACATGTACAAGGTAACCAAACATACTAGTCCTGTATAGAACTCCAACATTTATTTACTTAGAAGACTTTTACATAGTTCTAGAGACTATTATTAGGTTTGCAACAAGAGAAATCATAAATGGTTTAAAACTGAGGATTAAGAAATCCTTTTTTGTGAGGAAGTACGGCATTCTTGGTATGCAGACAATCTGAAGAATGAATGTGCCTACTTTGGGGCACATGACTAAATGCATCCTGGTTCTTCCCTTTTTGGATTACTAGATGTTAATTATGCAGAAGTGCAAGCAAAATGATGTGGGAAACATTGCATGGGAAGGAAATTACATCTTAATTCTGAGCATTAGGTTCCAAGAAACCTAAGATATGAGATTAAACCTAGCCCAGTTCAGCATAGACTGGGCTCCAAATCCTGTGTTGTCTGAACAGACTCACTGCAGTGCCTACAGAGAACTGGGCACTTCAGTTCAGGGACTTGGACTGAAAACAAATTAAACACCTAGATGTCACTGGCTTTGGCAATAAGAAGTATTAAATGCTGATGCATCAGGAATTCAGGTGATTTCCCAAATGCTACAAAGCAGATATCACTATCAGCCCTGGATCCAGAGTCCTACAGCCTTTCTTATGGGAAGTGCTGGCCAGGCAGCAGCTTTCCAGGCAGAAGTCAGCCTTTCTCTGTGGCGGAGCACAGTTGCCAGGAGTGAAACAGTGCTCAAGAAACAGAAACCCTGGGTCCCAAACTTTTTTTAGAAGAACTCAAGCCTCATCTTCACTTCCCAGTATAGTGCTCTCACCCCAAGCCAAGCTCAGCTTCTCTCTTATTCCTGACTCCTTTCCTTTTGCATAGTAATACAGCTTCAAGAGGAGGGGAAGAGAAAAACTGTAGTAAAGAAAATGTTACTGCCAACCCCTGTGACATACAATTGGCCTTGTGATTGCTGCAGTCTGGTGAAGGGATATGGCACAGAAATCCAGGTTATGGCATGTCAGCTGCACTGCAGTAGCTTCTTGTGTGCATACCATAGATTCACCTTGTGGAAAATGAGACAGTTCAAAGAAGCTGAGTCTCTCAGACAGAGAGAAGGGAGCTACTTCATATACAAGGCAAGATAAAAAGCAGTTATTGACAACTATCACAACATAAATAATGTTCACATCTTGTTACTCTTGACAGCCTCTTGGTGCAGTACTTGCACCTCATCCTGGCTTGATTCCTTGCACTGGCTCAGTGGCTCTTCACACAACTGAGCCAAAGCTGAGTTTAGGGCCTTAGAATCTGACCAAGATGGAGTGGCAGGGCACATCCATCTTCTGTGCGGACAAAGGGTCATGCCTGTTGTGCAAAATCGCACCAAATCTGCATCTTCACCTCAGCTGCACATCCTTTATCTGTAACCTGGGGGTTCAATCACTTTCTGGAAGGTGCAGTATGAATTTAAACAGAGACTGAAGACGAGGCTACACCTAGATTTCTTTCTTCTGTAGGAGTTCTTGCCATACATATAAAAAGCATATATCCCCTTATGATGTATTACCAGAAATATGTCATAGCTGTATTTTGGGGAAATTTGAAAGTCTCACCACGAGGGGCTGTCATAGTGTTTTCCAGATTGCTATCAGCATTTACAAGATCAGTTCACTCAAGGGGATGAAACAAAAGAATGATCAAACAAAAGAACTATGGGTCTTAAGCAGAGGATAAACTGCTCAGTCTGGGGCAGTTCTGGGCAGTCAGGAACTTAAAAAAGGAAGCATTTATCACATACCCTCAGGGGCATAAAACAACTGAGCAATAGCTGAATTTTGCTGTTCCCATGCCGCTAAAAATCATGATTTTTCATTTAGAGGTAGATCTGATGAGTTCCATTTGCAGAGAATACTTAAACATTAGAATGCAAAGAAGTGTTTCAACTTCATCAGTTATTACTGCGAGAAAGTAATACAAGGGTATGCAAAACTATTACAGACATTTCAAGGCTTGGAGAAGGCTGTAAAGGACAAGAAGTTATGGTTTATAAGGAGGCAAGTGTATTAAGAAATGTACAAAACCAACATAATCTTCATCCCATGAGAACGTCATGCAATAAAGAACTATTATGATTATGATATTATAGAGCTTTGTGATCTCATATACAACTTCATTATTTTGCATATTTTCCTTTGTTATAGCATGAATTAAAATGTATCTCATTACAGTTGAAAGCCCATTTGAGTTCTTCATTATACTTTAAAATGGCTATTTACCTGGGAATTTCTTCAGTCTTCTAAAAACTCTTACAGCAGACAAATGGTTAAAAGAGTTTATAGAATGAACTAACACATGATTTTCAAGATTTTACATATAACAGAAATATAATGGCAAACTCTTAACAGAAAAGTGAGTGGAAGTGAATTTTAAATCCATTTATACTGCTAAAGTATGCAAACATGCTGGTGAATGGAACTTCACTGGTTTATGAAGCTGCACTAATGAAACAAGTATATACACAAAGAGAGGCAAGGAGAAACTAATCTCTGCATAAAGAGTGACCATACTGCTACCTAAGCATGCAAAGCTGCCAAAACAACAGCACTGTGGGTAGATTCTTCAAGTTCTGACACCTGGGTCCTAGGCAACCACACAACTTTTGAACAGCAATTACAGCTGGTCCAAGCTGCTTACTTTGAACACTAAATCCAAGTAGTTAGCTTTCTTACATAGATTTTTTTTTTGCATAAAAACTAACAGCAGAAGACAGACAATTGGTTAAGTTACCACTTAAGACTGAAGTTGTAAGCCTAAGCTTGCCTGAAGCCTAAATAGTAATTCAATATAGTTCTATCATTTTTTAAGTACAGGTCATCTAAAAAACCATGATGATTTAAGCTCTCAAGATAGTAGGTGTCTACATGATGAAGTTAAAGTCATTCATAACATGACACTGATGCACATCATTTAAGTATCTTAAGACTAATTTTAAAATCAAAATTTTGTTCTCCAAGCTCTCAATTATTTCTGTATTTATTGGTATTATTTAGATGAGAATATGCCTTTAAGCAAGCAAACTAAGGTGGTTGAACCTGTTTAAGAGGACTGTAAACCACAGCTCTATAAAACAGCTATCATTTTACTGCAGGCTTCCAGGTTTACTTAGTAAGACTCTGTAAATTTGCTAGGTAGTGATTAAAGTTTTATGCTCTAAA